GGTAGAACTACTTGCAATCACGGATTTTATGTATCAAAGCAGGAGGAAAAAACGCTGCGCCTCCAAAAATGGCACGGTTTTCAGCAGGCAAAAAACGCTGGAAACGTGAACATGGGCCCTAAGGGTCTGGCGCCTCGTCACGCTGCTGGTGTTTTTACCAGCTTGTAAAAACACGGTGCTCCCATTGGAATGTATTGAAAAAAAAGCTTTGGTGGACACGGGCCCTTAGAATCACTAAGCTTTTCTGTAAGAAGGTTGTTCCAATTGGCGATTGGCTTGCTTATCGACGATTGAAGGGATGATCAGCGATTGGTTTTTCACGCGCTGATATTAATTTATTTATTTGTGGTGACACGCCACAACATCAACACTGACCACCACATACTATTTAATATGAGTAAAACCATAATTCATTGTGGAACTGCGGGATTCACTCTGCACCTCCGCTCTCTCTCTCTCTCTCTCTCTCTCTCTCTCTCTCACAAACACATCGTAACGGACCCGTGCGTTTATGGAAAAACGAATACATTGAAGTTAACTCGGAAGTGCAATTTATACTTCTGCGTCAAATCGACGGCGTAGCCCCCTACCCTACGCCGTCACCTACAGCGTAGCCTGACGTGTACCTCCTCAAAAATATAACTACACGTCGATTCGACGCAGACCATAAGCTCTGTGATTGGTCGGCTGGGTAACCTCGCAATGCCTCAGAGACCGTCAGAAAGTACCCGTGCTTTAAAGTAACTTTTACTAGCGGCCAAAACGGCGGCTGTAACACAGTGGATTGATATATTTGACCGTCACAACCCGAGTGAAATGACTCTTTCATCAGAATGAGATCCATTCGGGCGATAACATTTGAAAAAGCTACACCAGCCGCACGTTTGCAATTTTACCCCCATTCACATTAGCGGAGGGCTAAACCAGAAGTTAGCCTGCTCGGCCGGTTAAAGACAACACATTGGATGCTGGATGCGCTATCGCCGACTGCCGTTTGGGGGTGTTATTGCAGATTGACGGACAAACGGACGCACAAGTATAAATGCCTGGCTAGACCCTATGCAGGAGTATAAATCAAGCTTGAGGCGGTAGTCTATCTATTTTCTTAACATAACGCTGTTGACACGCTGTACATAGCTGCTATCGATTGCACCCTCCTCCTCACCGCCGCATGTGTGCGCTGCCACAGTTACACCGTAATTATGTGGGAAACACTATACTGCGCATTTACAGCTGTTTCTGGTAGTTTCCCTTAAAGCTAAAACGCCTTTTCTTCCATCCTGGCATTTCACTGACTTGCTGCAATGAAACGGCGATCTCAAGTAGCCATGATTAGACGATATGAAAATAGAGGAGACTGCCCAACCCTAGCGTCACCTGGTTTTATTTTTGTCAGCCAACTTCGATGTTGAAAATGTGTATTTGTTTGTTTGCTTGCTGGGATCCAGAATAGGTTTTTGTTGAGCTATGGACTATTGTGGAGATTTGAACTAAGATAAGGACTCGTCTTTGGTGGATGAACTGTGGGCTTTGTATTGAGCCCTGACTGAATTATACACTGCACTCAAGTTCTCGTGTGCTTTGTGTTTCTTGTTGTCTGTCAGCACCCGAAACACCTGGTTGTTAGTGATTGTTAAGTAAGGTGGGGTGATTGTCATGTGTCATAACATGGGCCTTTTGTGCATGCAAACATGCATGTAATGTCATAAACAACATAAAGTTGTTACTGTGATGTAGAGACAGAGCTCAGTTAAAACTTTATGGATGATCCTTTTGTTACAGATTAATAACTCACCACTCTGAAACTCTCGCTCCAGTCCATGTTGCCAAGCTGGTAAGGGGAAGATGTACAGCTGAACCGAAGCCGTGTTTACCGGCTTTTCAGGACCCGCCCTTCTCTGCTTCTGATTGGCTAGTAGTCCTTAACTAGGAACTGCACATGTGCAACTCCAAAATGAAGCGTTCAACACAGGGTGAAAAGAGGAGCAGCAGCAATGTGCAGCATGACAAAACTATGGTGTTTTTTGAAAATGAAACCATGTAAACCTGTTCTGGTACAACACCTAAATAAGATTATGAACCTGAAAATGAGCATAATATGGTAGTTTATACATTGAATGATAACATTACTTATGTTAAATGATATGCTAAATGAGCTGAATGCCACTCTTTCATTTGGTGCATACATTTCAAAAGAGGCAGATAAAATTTCAGACCCTCCTTACAATGATGTATTACTAATCCATAGAAACATTTACCTCAGTTGATAAAACATGACGGAACCAAGAAGACAGAAGGTATCGGGTGAATGCCAAAAATATTAGTATTTTGACTTCTTAAATTTTTCTGTATGTGGCCCCCTTTCCAAAAAGCTACCCCTGCTTTAAAGGATCAAGACCATATATTGTCCCAGAAATAATTGCGATAAAATAAATTATTGTAATTTTAAGACCATTTTATGCCACTTTTATAATTTAAAATATGTAATAGCATAATAATATGTTATATAATAATATATATAATGCTCCATTTTCCCTCTCAGTCCACAGACTGGTGCACACGCTAAATTGCTCGGAGGTGTGACTGTGAGGGTAAATGGTTGTCTTGTCTCTGTGTGTCAGCCCTGTGAACAACCTGTCCAGTGTGTACCTTGCATCTCACCCAGTGTCAGCTGGGATGGGCTCCAGCCCCATGGCCCTCAAGGATAAGCTATTATAGCTGATGGATGGATGGATATTTTTATTAGATTCAGTTCAAGTATCATTATCAGGGGCCTTTGTAAATATTTTATTTCCTGCAGGCCTCTTTTGGCCTTTGGCTCATTAAACTATTTGCCCCATCATTTGTCTTTAATCATCTATAACAAATTTAAACCAAAAACGTGGTTTATTTTCATGTTTTTTCCACAGAGAAATTGAACGTAACGTATCAAATGTTCTTTTTCTTATATGTCTTTTTTAAACGTTTGCCACCTTCATTGTTTAGTGTCCCTCTCTTGCACTGAGTGACTGTCAACAAAACAGTGATTGTTTGACGTTCAATGTGTTCCACAGTGGGCTGGAAGGGGCTGGCTAGCAATAGTGATAATGGCTAGTTCTAGGTTTGTTGTGTATGTTCTTTTTTCAGCACAGCCCTATAATTTCCTGTCCCTATGTGGCCTGTTATTGGCCCGGGGCCAACGGGCAACATTTAGTGTTAGATTGGGTTTTAATGGCCTGGGCTGACGTACAGCCTGGGCATAATGTGAAAATGTGCATATGCATGAGTCTATATTTGTGTGCGTCCCTTTAATTTGTGGCAGTAATGCTGGTTTAGACTCTTACAATAACCCCCCCACACACTAAAATGGCTGTCAACCGAGTTTTTTTCCAGCATTGAGAATTGAAAGAGTGTGAAAGAGAATTGAAAGTGTCTTACTCTAATTCTGTAACACCTTCATCCAAACCTTTCCATTTCAACAATAACACAAGCTGTGTTATTCAGTGCATCTCTGCCTGCTCAGGGAACAGTAGAACCACCCCAGAGCCACACTAGGTGAAAAGTCAAGTTAGCAGCATGATGCATGAAAATTAGGAACAGCAGTGCTGCTGCAGGAGGAGGGACCTATGATAGGAAAGGAGAGGCAGAATACTGGTGTTTTAGGCAAACTTGTTTTGCTATTGCCTGAGTTGTTTGGATTACCAAAATGTGTTGTTGTTTACTTAGATTATTAAGAAGACTGTGGACCATCAGATTTATTGCTCTGCTTGTCAAATCTCAGAAATCAGCACCTAGTTTACTCTTTTGGCCAGCAGTGTCTTCTTGCAGCCCCAAACAAATCACTTTTGGATTGTGTTTGTTTCAGGACAAATTGTAGGTTCAAATCTTCTCTTCTTTTTGGGCCATGAAAATCAGTTATAAAATCAAAACTTGTCAACAATAAAGGTGACTGAAAGTACACACATTTTATTCATTCATGTTGTTAATAATGATGAATTAAAGATAAATGTTAATAACAGATAAGGGTGGGGGGGAGGGGATCAGTGTCCTGAAATGACTGCTACTAATACAGCGGAAATGGTAAGAGAGGTCAATAATCAGTGGGTCAACTGATGAAGGTATTAATGAACAGATAGATGCTAATAAACAGACAGACTGCTGTAACTGTAAACAAGAGAGGACAGACTGAGGTAGCTGCTCTCAGTCCTGTTGGCTGGAACTAACCACTCAGTTGACTGCAGTAATGCATTATGGGAGGGGGGTGGGGTGGGAGGCTGAATGAGGAGAGATGCACTCGTTGATCCCTCTTCCTCTCTCTGTGTATGGAGGGAAGAGTGGGGGAGGGGTGAGTTATATAGAAGGAGGAATGAGAGAACAGGGGAAAGAAGATGACAGAGGAGGAGAGAAGAGAGAAAGATGGCTGTGTGCGCACACACACACACACACACACACACACAGACAACAGACACCTGCAACCATCAGTCACTGGATTGTATTTGTGCAGTGAATAGAAAGGCTTCTGTGACTCCAGCGGTGCAGTGTTAGGATACCTCTACATTACTGTTAACTCTGTGATCAAACTGAATTTAATGTCATCAACTTCTCTTCACTCTTACATCCCAGACCTTGTCTTAGTTTATATGCATTCATGATTGTATTATTTGTGTGTGTGTGTGTGTGTGTGGACAGTATCTGTGTTAATGCACATGCTTCTGTACAGTTTGATTTTCTTCATGTAATGGTTACAAAATGTGAAATTAGATGAGCATGTATCTCACATGACATGAACATAATGTACCCAGCATTGACTGTCAGTAGAATGCGTACATCCTTTTTATTGCTCCTCTCTTTTCTTTAATCCCCCTTCTCCACTTCCTCCTCCATCTCTTGCTTCTCTTCTTCTTATTCATCCTCCTTTTCTCCTTTTTCTCCTCCTTCTGCCGTGCAAAATCAAACTGCACTCATAGTTGTTTTGGTTTGCGATGTTGTTATTGAAACATGTCTTTTTGTGTGCTGTGCAGGCATATGTGGAGTTTGATGACCAGGAATGGGAGAAGAGAGAGTGGGTGAAGGTCTATGAGGATTTCCAGCTGTTTCTATTGGAGCACCAGCTGGTCTGGGCCAAGAGAAAGGAGGGAGCAGGAGGAGGAGCAGGAGCAGGTGGAGGAGCAGGAGGCCTACTGCTGGGAACCAAGGCCAAACACATACAGTGGCCTGCCCTGGTAAGACCTTTGTTTTCTATTTATAAACTGGACACAATACCAGAAACAGTCAGCCATATGACCACGCTGCCTGTGCTGTTACACATTCACCAGTGTTTAACACAAAGTATTAACTGCTCAGGATCATTCTTCATCCTTCCTGTGTGTTGTGAGATTCATTTGCCTTTGTGGTGATGGATCCAAGTGGTTGCTGAGTGGCAGCCCTGCACATTTACCAGCTTTGTCAGTTTTGTTGGGCCTGTATATCAGAGATTTTGGGACATTTCTGACTCCTTTAGTCTCAGTAACCCTTTTTAAACAGAGATTCTGCAACACTGCCATTAGGGCTGAACGCTCGTTTCCAATCAAGATTGCCATTTGAAAGAACGCGATTAGCTAATTGTGAAGACGGCGATTAAAATTATCCAGCGCATCTGACCCATTTGAACAGTCATGCAGTTACAAATTAATTCCGTTGTCATCCTGTCACAGACCTGTTTGCCTGTTACTGTCCTGCAATCAGAGCGTGCACAGGGTGTGTACATTTTACAAACAGCAAACATAACAAGAGGAAAACGTGGGATAATGGCGCCAGCCGACAGACACAAGCAGCGGCTGTGGTTTGTCCTGCGTCAACTCACAATGAAGAGTTTCAGCAGCGGAGCATTTAGCTTCCCTACGTTGTTGACGTGTTGTTAATTTGTCATTCTGTGTGCTTCAACTCTGTATAACAGCTCTCTGTGAGCCCGCTCCGTTTCGCATTTCAGAATAAGAGCGTTTGCCTGTTTGTTTTTGCTGACTTTTTCAGATTTTGCTTATTTGTTCAGTTGTCCTTGATTTTTGTGTTTCTACTATGGTTTAGTAGGCTACGTAGATAAATTGTTAGGGTTTTTTTTGTCTGTTTTTAACTGTGTTTATTGATGATGTATTTTGAAAATTGACCGTATTCTCTCTGCCGTTCTGTCTGACTTTCTACCTGGTTCATCTGCTCTGTGCTGCTTGACGTGGTTTCTGTCAGAAAAAGACTGGCAGTGATTATTGAACTTAAACTTCAATTTAAAAAAATCACAAATTGAATCGTAATCGCAATATCTGGCAGAAAAATCACAATTAGATTTATTCCCAAAATCATTCGGCCCTAACTGCAAGGAAGGAGACCTGTCACTACAACAGCTTTGCTTTTTACAACGAACCGAACAACCGCAGCATAATGCTGATTCCATTCAGTTTTATTACTAACTCCACTGCTGGCTTAACAGCAGAACAACAATGCCCCCCCGTTCCATGTTTGTATGTGTTATGCTGAACAGCGAGGCAGAATAACGGTGCAACATTACCGCCTTAATACAGGCTGTGTAAAAAGGGCTGTGTGTGTGTTTACCAGCTGTTCTAAGTGCTGGGCTGTGTCTGTTGACCTTCCAAAGGCCACTGCTTTGTTCCTCGTGGTGAGGGGGTCTGTTTGGTACATTGTCACGCTTTTCAGTTGTTCTCCTTGCCACATGAATGAACCATGTTGTTTTGCTGAGATGCTGGACATTTTGCTTCAAGTAGCTTGTTTCCAATGCAGGAACTTTTCCAGCAACCCAAGAACCATTTAAGAAACTTTGTTATTTTGCCCGTGTTTGCACTGGAACTGGAACACTGAGCAGATTGTCTGTAACACTATGTACACTATATACAACAACAAGTCACTGTTGTTTCCTCGTGTGTGGAAATTGTGTCTAAAAAACAACGCTGTAACTTTAACTAATCTTCACTGTTCTTCAGATGGTGGAAGCGCAGTTTAATTCCTTTGTTCCTGGATATTCATCAAAAAGTACTTTTAGTTGCCTCATGTAACTTTTACCTGTTAAATAGTTTAACTAATAATAACAGTTTAATTACTAGTTTCTCAAGAGCAAAATCAGTCCCCAGCCCATATTGCCACTGCTTTGAAAGCCAACTGAAGTAGAATAAATGCTTTGCAGGGAGGATTGAGGCAGTGGGGGGTACTTTCAGAATCTAGCTGTCTCTTGTTGGTTCTTCATCGTTGCCAACCCCAGCTTTAAAATGCCAGACGGATGTGCTTATTTTTGTAACACGTGGTTTCCTATAGCTTAGAGTTGCTTTGTAGGGCTCCTGTATGTAGTGAAGCGAGTGTTGGAAGAAAGTAGCAGCTGACAGCACAGTTAAAACGTGTTTGTCTGATAGTGGCTTTAATTGGAACGTCCCGCTCTGTGTGCGTCTCATTATGAGTCAACACATCAGCACTCTGATGCTGAGTCTGCTCTGTGTCTCTGTTGTCTCACACACATGCTGTGATGTGGTGGCACTGAGGTTGCTGTGGTGTTTTTGTTGTCGTCTGTATGTCATAATATTCCACACACACACACACACACAAACACACTTCAGACGACAGAGGTCTGTGTAGGCATACTCACGCTGGAGCATGTGGATGTGTGTCTGTGGCAGTGAACTCGTATTTTTAGTCGGTTGGAGCTAAATGTTTTTGTGTCAGTCCCTGACTGAATAATTTGGTTTGTAAATGTTTGACATTGACAGCATTTAGTTGTGAACTGTGTGCATGTATGTTAGCGTGTGCTGGGAAATGTGATTCACTGTTTTGATTATGTAATAGCAGAGTGCACAGCGCCATCTGGCACATGCATGGGAGATAAGAGTTCAAAGACTTCCACACACAGTTTTTCCTGGTTGTTTTTCTCTCTGTCTGACTCCTCCTGTTTTTTTCACTCGTTCGTCATATCACTGCCCCTCTGCTGCTGTTGTCATAGCAACAGCATCAAAATCTAGTACAGACACACACACACACACAAGCGGATGAGCTGTAAGCTTTGAGAAGCAGTGTATCATTTTCTGAAAAGAAAATGTTCAAATGTTCAATTCTGTGTTCGGTTTTAGTTAATAACAATGAAATGATAAGATTAAAAGAATTCCACATTAAGCAGAATATTGGAGAATTTATTTCCTTTCTGGTAGATTTTTGAAAATTGTTGCCTGAATATGCCTTTTATTGAAAGCAGCACCTTAAATCAAAGAAAATGTCTTTCCACACATACACTTGGAAATACTAGCTTTCTGATGCTTTCCAGCTTTTCAGTTCTGCTACAAGTGTTCATGGGAATTTTGGGTCAGTGAATTCATTCTTTTAATGAATTTACATGTCCGCCAATGTAATTGACTAACCCCTGATCATATTAACATGATGCATTTTATCCAGACTAAATGCATTACACATCATATCATGACAGTGTTGTCAACAGAATGCTGTTTTCATTCACTATTTCTAGTTGCTGTAATTAAATGGGTTTTTTTTATCACTGGTAGCCCGCTGTCTGTAAAACGCAACACTTCCCACCGATTTTTTTATATTTAAAACCCAGCTACACAGGGAGTGTTGAGTTTCATTGACGGTAACTTAACAGTGATGGAAAACACATCAAAGTAGTAGCAGTAAGAATACTATGGAGATTACATTATTCTTTACATTATTTTACTTTAGTTTTAAATTTTTTTAAATTATTATTATAATCACATTATTCCAGATTCATCAAGAGAACAGGTCAACATGAATGGTTCATGGGTGATGGACAAACAGAATCAACAGGAGAAGATTAGAAAACTGTAAGGCTTCATACAAAAATACAATAAAGTATGCTTTAAAATTGGAAATCAGAAATTAAGACTTTTCTCTAATACAAACATGTTTCAAATAAAGCCACGTCTCTTTAGTTGAGGCACATAAATGTGCAGCTGCAGCAGTACCAAAATAAATTGCTCCACAGCGGTTAGATACAACCATCACTAACTACACTCCTGGGAATTTGGTGAAATCAGATTTAAAATCATAAAGTAAGGAGGCATCAGTGGACAACTTTTACTGTAAAGAATGAATGAATCAGCTGGCGCTGCATTCTTCTTATCAGTTCAGTCAGAAAGAAGCAGCCTGAAACCTGAAAGAGTTTCTTTATTTTAGCGTATTGACGGGCTCCTTAATTGAACTCTTGAGTTTAATGTTCAGAAAGTCTGATTTGCTTTCTGAAACATGCACTGCTGCGGAAACACTGATGTTGATTACTATCATTGACACATTCACCTAGAAACAGACACCTCCACAGCCAGACACACAAATTAGTCCTCACACAGGCAGGACCAGTGTGTCACACACTAACACACACACACACACACACACACACACACACACACACACGCACACGTACACGCACACACGCGCACACACACACGCGCGCACACACACACACTGTGGAGTGGACACTGGTTATGTACTGTAAAATATGGTATTATGCTCTGCACTAAAATGTTTGAATGAGCCTGTTTGTTTTATTTTAGGGTTCTGTACTATATCTATTTCCAATGTTTTGCTTTGAATAAACACACTAATACCACACTGTACACCAATATGGTATTCTGAAAATAATTTTCCATCCCGTACCAACTAATACACATGTGTTTTGTATTTTAAACACTCTTAAAAGCTCCTTCTTAAAGCTTCTTTTCATCATGGAACTTGTATAAGATATTGATATTATGTAGTCTAACTATTATTAGTAACAGCATTAAAACCAGGTATTTTGTTGTTAGGGCTGGGCAATTAGTCCAATTTTCATTTACAATATTGGCTTTCAACGATTATGAAAACAAGATAATAAAGATAAATAAATTATTGTGCCATTTTGCCTTGTGGTATAAATCACCCATCTTAGGATGGGTTAAATGCAGAGAATGAATTTCCCAACAGGTAAAAGATTACTTAAATCCAGCACACCCCTTTCCTTTACAGCCGTGCACTTTCGCACCTCCATAAGACTTAACTCACTATCGGCAGGCTGTGGCATGTTAAGTTCTGCTCACTGCGGCGTGTGAGCCAGCCGCCCCTTGAATTTCGATGCTGTTATTGAACTGGTGCTTGGATTTTGAACAGTCTTTTAAAAAAGTATTTATATTGATTATATTTTACAAGGTATTTTTTGTTTGTTTTTCAGTTAAATTATATTTAAAGTTCA